ACCGCAGGCTGGGATTTTTCGTAGAGCCCAAGGGAATTAGGCAACCTGCTCCCACTGAATTACAGCATGATATGGGCATGTACCTCCTGCAGGCTCCTCTGCAATCCCCATCTCCACTAGGGGAGTAGTCAGACACAGCTGGTTCGATCATTTGTAACTTCGCATGGATCTCGTCCAGACAAGAACCAAAGCTGGCTTGCCCGAATCCAGTCCCTGGTAACTCAGACGAAACACCCTGACCAGGCTGCAACGAGTGCACAGACCAGGCTCAAAATCCCTTTGCCTTGTTCTGTGCCCTGTTCCTAACTCCCAACCCACATTTTACAGCTGTGAGAACAGGTCGTGGACTTTCCACCAAGTCGTGCTCACATGCGATGTGTAACCCTTTCCAGGCATGCTGTTGTGCACATTCAGGAACACAAAGGATCAAAAATTCTTTTCTGCTTTATGCAGGCTCTTGGATGCTCATGACCATAGTGTCTGAGTACCAGTTACATATTTGCTCTCATATCAATCCCACGGTGCCAAACCAAACCTCCCTCTCATGAAAATACTGTGGTACGCTTGTACTCACCGACCATTCTCCACTCTCTGGATCCCCCAAAGATCTAAGCCATCTTCAGTCAGAGTGCCAGTCTATCAAAAAGCAAAACAAAAAGCCAATCAGTCGCCACAGAGAAAAACTCCCTTGCCAAGATGGGCTCTGAAAAGTGCCGGTGGACAAATGACCAGAGCTACACTTGAGCAGGGACACGACAGCATTTTCACATCCAGCCGCAATGCAGATGTGATTTTTGTTAGCTGTCCCTTGCAGAATACGTCTCTGTGCAGGTTCCACAGGGCCCTGACCACGGTACAGCAGCGTCATATGACTGTCACTTCCCCGTGCCATGCATTCACTGCTCTCCACAGTCTGCGCTCACGGGACTGGAGGGAACACCCACTCCTCAGCCCTCACTACTGTGAGCTCACAAAGCCTGTGGTTTTGGGCGAGGAATTTCCTAACCTTGCACATGGAATTCCAAGTGAAAAGACAACAGATGACCGAAAAGCAACAGCTCAAGAGCTGGGCGCTAAGCTACTGCCCCAACAAACAGGTATTTGGAGAACTGTTCACACACCAGTTTGAATCCATCAGCCATACAGAGAAACCTCACAGCCGTGCAGAGAGTTTAAGGCCGTGGCGGCCAACCGGTTCTGAAGCAGTAGCCGCTATAGCAGCAGTAGCTACAGCAATCTAGCCATACTCAACCAGCCAAATAGCTACATTT